TCGCGGGGACCCGGCCCCGGGTCGGGGTGGCTGCGTTTGACCGCTGGTGCCGGGGAAAAGCCCAGCGCCGCCTAGCTGCAGCGCAGAGCAACGCTGCTTTAACTCGCGTGTAACACCCCAGACGGCTCGTCCCCTCCTACTGCAATACAAACCTTCGCCCCGAGAACATGCTGCACCGATACACAGCTCAATCCTTTTTACAATATACCCCACCTCTGTCAGCAGTGCCAATTCAAAATACTAAAACTAAAGATTTTTTTTTAACTCGTGGAAACAGTTTAAAAATAAATTTAAACATACCTATAAGGTCACTTCTTCCTACTTACTAAGCTTCTGAAGTACTTTTCAGTTTTTTGTTCTTAGGCTTCTTTCCATTTGGAGAGAAAATAGAAAAAAACAAACCAGAACAAAAAACCACATTTTGAGAGGACTGGAACTAACACAGCTTGGATTCCTAAGAATCTGCACCTTCCAGTCACCTAACCTCACTCCCTCCCTTGCCTCAAGTCCCCCAACCTACCATGAAACCACAGTATCCACCAATGCCCCACCTCTCAGCAGCACTCCTCCCTTAACTTCAGACTCCCACTAAATCAGACAAATAGCTAACCCTAAACACAATATTGTTACATTATACAAATACCTGGTGTGTAGTTTACTTAGCATTTTTTTTCGTGCCAGTAATGATGTACAATAAAAGAATTGTCACTTTTAATTCAATCAAGGTTTTATTTTGGATGATAATATTAACATTTTTAGAAAATGGAATCAAAGGCTGGCCATAAAAAAAAACGATTACTATGTATCAGCAAGCAAAGTCACATCTTTTTTTTTCTTATTCTTTACTTTCTTCCTGGAGAATATGGCATGCTTCATAGCTGATCTTTTACAGATCCCCACCTTTACCCTCTTTAGAGTTTTCAGCCTTTGCTTTTTGTCAGCTCTGTAAAGCAAAAAAGGAACATACAGATTAGAATAAAATGGAGAACATACTTCTACATTTACTGGTATTTTAAATAATCTGTCCATGCAAGTATATGAACTCAGAAGTACTGTGACAAAAAGTACAAGGAACATTCCATCTTACAAGTTATGACATTTAATCTTCCTAAAACTGTTTGTCCATTTTACTGCCATTAATTATTTTTCATTTTTGTACTTATTCAGCATTTACCTTTAAACAGATGTAAAAAACTTGAGAAATGCCACTCATCAAGTACAAAAAAGCACAGACTTTCGTACTCAATATATAATGCATGAATATATAATAGAAAGGTTCAGAAGAAAGTACGTAAAGTTTAACATCATCATGAAGGCTCCTGCAAATAATACAGGACCTAAATATAACTAGCAAGTGGATTGTTTTCTGTCTCTGACAACGGATGTATTTCATAACATAAAATATTGAATAATTTTAACAAATAAAACATACAGATGTTTTTATCAGAAAAAGAAACCTAAGTTATCTTCTGCAACAAATCGGCAAAAGAAATAACTGATGGACTGAAAGGACTAAACCATTCCAGTACAATGGACAAAATAGTATCTTGACAGAAGAAACAGATGAGGTTTCATGAATTTCTTTTAGTATCCTTTTTACTTTTTAAGCAAAGAAAAAAACATTAAGGGAAAATATGGCAAATGAAATACTGCTACCTTTTATCTAATAGCCCATAACCAGAACTCAGATTAATGTCACAGCAGGACATGAAGCAATATACCTGTAGTCCTCTACTATCCAGCAGGCATCTGGTGAATCTCTTGATGCTGATCCAAGAGGTTAACTATCTGAATCTCACTATGCAAAAGAGGTCCATCTTTTGGGAAGGAAGATTTGCATTCCAGTGCTACAACCATTCAAGTCAAGAATCACAAACCAACCCATGCACTCTGGAGAAGAAGTTACAAAAGTGCAGGCCAACTATCCTGAACTGGAAAGACTGAGCCAACTGCTGGATCATCTCTTAGCAAATCCCCTTTCCTCTTTTCAGTTAGTTCCATCTGAAGACCATCACACACAGGGGTTTTTTGTCTTTTGATATGTACAAGTATGTGCTTGTGTATGTGACAGAAGCACAACCATGGCAGAATAAAAGTACTTAATGTGACCCTCATTAATACAGATCTTACACGGTGGAGATTTAGACTGTACTACAGAGAGCACCTGAAATACCAGGAGAAAAAAGAAAAAGATGCCACAACAAAGAAAAGGAAACGGGAAGCAATAAAAACAGTGTAGTGACTTTCTTCTCTGCCCTTTCATGAGGAACCCAAAGGGAATAAAACTGTTTCATTAATTTTGAATCTTCTTGACAGAGCTATCCCATGTACCGTTCACCAAGTTTGGGATCCATATAAATCAGTTTTGAAAGAAAAGCCACAGTTAAGGAATTGGGAGCCACAGTAAGTGACCTGCCTGTTTTTTGTCATATCCTCCCTTCAGTATATACTCCCCAGCAATACAGCAAGTAGGCAATAGTGAGAGATGACATCAGTACTCAAAGCCAAAAATCATCTCTTTCTAAATCGTTTCCATGAAATAAGATCTAATCTCTTCTGAATGCTATCTTTTATTATATGCAGTATCACACTTACTGGCAAGCTGTTCTGGTGCGGGAGAGACTGGGACAGGTACTGCGTTTGTGACCTGCCTTGCCACAAACAAAACAGCCAGCATAAGTCTTCTCACAAGTGTGGTTCTGAAGAGCACAGCAGTTGCAATTGTTACAGTGAAACCAAGCTGCAAAATAAGTAATATGACTTATGATCTTGAAAAGCTTTAGAAAGATCATTCTGAAACTAAGCTTTAAATATAGGCTACATTATCAGGTTTTTAATTTTGTTTTAGTTTTACAGAGATGGATATAGTCAGTTTCCGTTCCCTTTCCACATTTCATAAGGCAGCCAGGTACTCCTTCATTAGATATACCGTGTAACTATTTCAGTATAACTGAAATATTTTGCCATTAGAACTATTACCCTGTATGTAATCTTAACATGAAAAATAGTCCAGATGTTAAAATGGACTTACAAATCGCGATTTCTGTATCAGTAACAAAAACGACTGCTTCAGCTATTTACACACAGCTACAAATACAACTGTATTACTGTATGAAACATAATTTGATAATGCCTTCTCAAACATTTTCATAATTGCCTATTTGTTTATGAAATTCTAATGAAAAAGTTTACAAAATCAGGAAACACTTCTATGACAAATCAAAATATTTAAGTTTTCCCATAACAAACATGAATGGGATTTAGTATGCCTTGACGAGAATTTATCTCATTTCCACACAGTGTAAATATACCTAAGTTATCAAATGGCAACTCATGTGAAATTGAGATTTTTCCTTTACTCTATGTCTTCTGAATGATTACATTTTATTTCTCTTATAGAATATTTTCTCTTCTGGTTTGTAATCTCAGTTTATTTGGACTATAGTTTAAACAATAAGGGTACTTTTATTTAGAGAAGTATTTTTCTTTACTTACAGGGTTTTACACATTTTTTGCAAAGAACACAATGTTTCCATCGTCTACCATCCTACAAAAGATGAATGAATGCATTATTTGTTTGTTTGTTTGAAAAAAAACACCGATTCTATCTTAAAACTGAACTACTGATGTATGGTCCCCATTATTTACAGAAACAGGTCCGCTGCAGGAAGGACAGTAACTTGGAAACAACAGTCCGGAGAATCTGTGACAACCACAGCAAAATGGCTGCATTTTTAAATTAGCAAGTTCTACTACTTCCAAAACATAAGAAGAAATGTATATGTCAACAGACCACTGATGAATACAGTATGGTGTAAGTGGCAAGTAGCAAACTTTTCCTGTCCTCTTTCCAACTGAACTGCTTGGGGTTTCCCAAGAAAATCATTATCAGAATAGGTTTTCACCAGAGCAAATATTACAGAAGTTATTATTTGACTACTGCTAAAACTGCCATCCAGAAAGAAGTCAAAACACTTACCTTTGACGTACATGAATTGCATATATCGCAGTGCTGGTTACCAGAACTAACATACCGCTGACATATAGCACAAAACCTGGAAAAAAAAAATTATAAATGTACTGGTTCACTATTTGCTTACAAAGCAATACAAATTCATTTTATACAAGCTCAACAACAAATATAAGGATTGCAAAAATCACTTTGCCAAATCAAGGATGATGGTTTTGATGCATAAAATCACCATTGAGGCCCAGAGTCTCATAATCATTTAGACATATTACATCCAAATAGTAAAACTCAGGTGCTAGAATTCAAATTAGTAACCCTATCAGCAGAAAATCAAACCAAATCAATTCCTTTCTTCTTGATGCTTCTCTTGGCATTCATTTTATTAACTACTGTTTCAACCAAGCTGATTATGAGGCATAGCTGTTAATCTCCCTTACAGGTGTACACATTTCCTACAGACAAGCTGAGGAACCTCATCATTCCACACTGGAAAACATAAATTTCTTTTTAGGTGCTCAGCTCTCCTACACATTGTTAATAGAACATGTGACCTTAGAATGAAACAGAGAAATGTGCTGTTGAGCCTGGCATCCAAAAGTTAGGCATGACAATACTGAACAGCACCATCCCAAAGTCCTTTAGAGACTTTATGCCCTAATTAAGAACACATACACTCTTTCAGTCACATCAGCGTTAACACATCTTACCTATAACCCTCTTCTACGGGAAGTACAATCATACTTGGGGTGAGGTTCGTGAAGATACGGACAGGGGACTGTTTACGACCTGTCTTGCCATGTTTATAAAGTGCATGATTATCATAGTCTACCTAGAAAAATAAAAACACAGAAAAAGAGTCTTAAACTGAATGCTAAGCACAGGCAGAACTATTTAAAGATTTATTATCTTTACATATGCCTTATGAAATTTTCATTTTTTATATAAAGAGACTAACCCCAAATTAGATTACAAATTCTACAGAAAGTATTTTGTCTCATTTATTTTTAAATTTGTGCAACCATAATATCAGGCTAAATTCAAGAAACTAAGTTCCTAATACTACAGTAACCCTAATTTACTTAGCTCTTTTGGCTCTTTTGCATAGGATACCTAAGATAACATTGCAGTTGTTCTACAAAAGGGCAACCCATAAAAAAAAATGGAACTGTACCGTTTGGTCTATCTGGCAGTGTAAGAGTTGATGTGGATCTTAACAGATCGCACAGTAATTACAAAGTTGCAAATCCAATCAGTACTGCTTTTTTCCGCACTGCTTTTTCTAGCACTGCCTTCAGAGACTTGACACAAAATTTCTCATCTCTGAACACTAGCAGCAACGCAGAGTCTAGCTTCGCACAAGTTTCTAATTTTCTTCCACAAATTTCCGTTCTACAAGATACAAATACATTGTTCCGAATACCCACGTCAAAGTTTATGCAGAGTTGCTATATGAGAAATTAAAACTTTAACATCATGAATACCTATAATTGAGCTCTCAAAAGTCACTGACATACGCATTCTTAAACAACTTACAGAATGGATACAATATTGGAGAAGCTGATGCCAGATTATTGCTTTACCACCGACAACTTCATTTATTACTTAATTCCAAAAATTTCCACTGTTGTAAATCTACTCTAGCCCCAGCACTTTTGGAGATGAAAGACCTTCTCTTATTTCTTTTTTTTTCTGACCAGGGCTAGGCATTACCCAGCAAGCTACTGACATTTCAACATCTTGGAAAAATGAAACACTCTTCTTTAAGTTAACTCTCACCTCTGCAATATGCACCTGTTGAAATTAGTGCAAATTTTGTCACACTGAAAACCTGCAGAAGAAATGAGTTAATGGACAGATGACAGATGAGTTAAAGATACGTAACAAACTGTAGCAGTGTGACAAAGTTATCAAAGGTATGACTGACACAAATACACAATCTGGGCTTCACATGATAAGCACCACAGGGTTTGCAGTGCCTCCAACTCAGTCAAAAGTAAAGTTCAAGAAGACAACTCATATACAGACAAGTGCTACCATTGTATCTGCTTTCATTCATATTCCTGTTCACATTGCACATGACTGAAATTTAGCAGACTCACTGGGTTCAGTCATACCTGGTAATCCATCATACTGAAGCGTGGGAAAAATTCAAGAATACGAGACTCAAAGAAGTATGGAAATATCCAGAACACGGGCATCTCTTGGTTGTTATGACCTAGTAATGAAAAGACTTAGATGTACATTAAAGAAAAACAAGGTACATGAAGCACAAAAAATTTACAGTAAATATTCTGAGTACATAAACAGGTATATGCATGTCATGCTTGGAATAAGAGCTAGTTCATTCAGGTGACAGAAAGTTTTGGCATATTTTATATATGTGGAACTGTAAGCTCCACTTAACTAACAACTCTTGTCACCCTCCTAGGTTGGTAAGAAATGGTGCTGGTTGGATAGCTTAGTCTTCTCTACCTTTAAAGTTCATTTTAAAGGCAAAGTATATTTGTAAAAAAATTTGTAAAAGTTTTTAAGAGAGACTTAGAGAATTGGGTATGACTAAACTGGAAGTATCAGGAGAATAAATTAGATATATAGCAGTTCATCTTTAGGAATTACAACAGGAGCGTGTTCACATTAACCTGAGCAGTAAGAATCACAGACTTTTAAATAGGTACTTTTTCTTACAGTGATGTTACAGCTCAACCCACCTATCTGGTTGTAATACATACCTTCTTTTTCTGTCTCCTTCCACATTGCCATCAGCTTTTTAAAACTAGAAGCCAATGCTCCCACTAAACCTCCAAATGGGGGATCAGTTACCATAATGACTCTTTCACCATTGTCTGGACACAAGAACTTCCTACAAGTTTCACGCGCAGTCTGTAAGAAACAGAGGTTAATTTCCAGAAATAAAGACTCAAGAACTGTAAAAATACTGTCTTTGGCAATAAAATTATTATTTCAGAAGTTTCAACTTTGAAGACAGAAGTTATTTCCTCTTGTGGAGGTGAATTTCCTCTTGTGTAGCATTAAAAAAACCAACTAGATTTCAAGCACTGAAAACAAGTGTCTTGTTCATTTAGAGAAAATGTATTAAGGCCAGATGCAGTTCAAGCTTCCTAAGATACCCTTCTTCCTAAGGGTACTAAATTTAACTTGGAAAAAAGACGTTATTCATAGCAAGAAAGAAAAGCTCAGGCTCAGAATACATTTTATTCATGCCCTTTAACTTTAGTTTTATTCTGTAAAGCACTATCAAAGTAATGGAAAAAAATTAATTCCACTGAAAACTGATCCAAACCATACTGGTTATAAAAATACACAGCATTCAAACTTTAGCAATCCAACCTGGACCCTATTACTAAAGGAAATGTAAAAAACTATGTATTCACCGTCATCTTGCAGTGTTCTCTCAACCAGATTTTTAACAGTAATATGCATTCAGAAGTGCTGCAATTCAGTCCTTGAATACACTGCAATACAGTGTCATTACAGGTGTCACCTTTCCACACCTTGAAAAGAACACTACAGTGTTTATAATGCAGATTAGCAGTCTTTTGTTTTAATTGAAAAATACAAAACTTGAATACAGTAATGGATTTAAAAACTTCAAAGGCAAGGCTTTCAGACCAGCTTCTCATTTCATTCTACATGATTCTTTCTATTTTCAAGATCCCATTCAAAACTAGCCTTTAGAATGGCAAAAATCTGAAAATTATCTACATAATGAGAACAGTACTGCAATAAACATATTTATGCAAATCAGTGGTGGCTTACTAATAATGACAAAGTAAGAACAAAGAGTAAGTGAGTATACTGTTGGCATAAATCTTCGAAATTAATGTTTGGAATTGAATTACACTGTGATTCTCTGTACAAAGCTACAGTAAATGTCCTACTACAGCTGCGGTTTTCCTAATAAACTCAAAATTAAGCACTTAATGTGACATTTAAAAAGAAACAAGAAATTCAGCATTTTCTTTAACCACTTACACTTACACATTAACTTAACTAACTCCACCTCATTTTATGACAACAAGGTTAACCTTTTGACCTTGCTTGCCTGGAATAAAGCAAAAAAACCTCCTCCTCCCTCCCACCTCAGGTACAACTAGGTAAGTCCCATGGAATCCATTGGGCTTGTAAACGCTGAGAATAAAACAATTAATTCTGTTGTAACAATACAAGAACAGGAATAATGTGAGGCAACAACTCACATCAAATTGTCATTTTAATAAAAGCAGCAGTTAAGGTGTGTAACATTAGTTATCATAAATTTAATAGACAACTTTATCTTTGAATCAAGTGGGACAGAATTACTGAAGAGGCACTGTTATTCTTTGATTTCCAGTACTGCTGACCATTTTCATCTCATGATAGCTGTTTTCTACTAGACTACCCATGACTTTCTTAGAAAATTCTGCATCGACAACATGCACTTGTTTACAAAGCACTCAAGAGATACTTGGCCTTACCTTTCCACCAAAAAAATAATGATTAAACATGTTGTAGTGGCAGAATTCATCCTCTGTGTAAAACTGTGAATACCTGTAAAATAAGTTTTAATAGTAGTAGACAAATATAAACATCTTCTTGCCTGCCCTAAGGGCCATTTACAGTGAAAACAAGGCCTTAAGGAAAAACAACATCTTTGAGTTCTGATTACTGACAACACATACCAATATTGGGAATTATATTTTTCTCATAAACTGGATGTTATTTGTGTATGTGTGCAGGAACAGAGATGCAGAGACAGGAAAGGGATATCAATCACCAATGTATCTTTTAAACCAGTAATAATATAAATCTTCATATATACTCTTCAGACAGATAAACGTTTGTCAAAACCTACCTGAAATCAATATCGAGCAGAAGGCTTCTAACCCTGAAATCTTTTTCTTGGGATGCTTTTGACTGGATCGTTTCATGAAGCCTGAAGTATAATTGGAGCAAAGAAATTTAACACATAATCATTGGCTTCAGAAATTATCTTGCAAGACAAGAATGCCTGGTACTTTACTAAACCTAAAACCAAACAGACAGAGAAAATGGAGTAATCTGCATTTGGATGATTCCATTTGGCTAATATTCAAAGTCAGAAAAATGTTAGTCTTAAAAGATGGAAAGTCAGCGGAGTCTACTGGATCACCAGAAAAACCCACAAGCATAAGCAAAGAAACTCCCTGTCACTTCTGTAAGAAACAAAGCAGGACATTTACAGTGTGCATGTGCTATTTGCAATGCAGCTACAGTCTTCTCCTGTACCTTATGAGCTCAAAGCAAGACCCCACTAGATACCTGGATAATCCCAAGCAATTAAAGCATAGTGAACCACTTACTATGGGAGAATCCTTGATTATTTAAATATTAGTAAGCTGCACAGTTTTGAGAGAGAAGTATTATTTGACAGTTTAACAACTGTCACTGACGCACCTGGGTGTTCCAACAGAGAGCACTCGTCTGAATCCTAAATCAGTAATAAGGTCCAGTAGGAACTGGCAACTTCTGTCTGCAAATAAATACTGTGCATTTGTTTTTTTATTCTCCAGCGGATACAAAAGTTGACTGGGACTTTTTAACTGGGTAGCAGAGATATCACACAGGAACTGGTGATCTGAGTGTTTTTCCCATTCAGCTGGCAATAGCAATCGCTGGCATTCCTATCCTCTTTGATAATGGCAACAGAACAAAATTCTTGTACCTTTAAATACAAAAGACAATAGGGAACAACCTTTGAAAAAGCCTCTATAAAAGATACGAAGAGGAGCTATGAAGGGGGGTTTCATATTTTTTAAGAGTTCAGACATTTAAGCAGGCAATATAGTTTAAGCTGCTCTTGCAAAACTCCGCTATCCACATGTGAATAAACTAATAATTATGAAAAAATATTCAAAGGACACTTTGAAAAGCATACAATATGCTGGCCAAATATACTGAGAGTCCCCATAAAATAACTGGATTATAGAGTGAAGGCTCCATATCAACTACCAGCAGGCAGTCCTGTACATTTATACACAAAACTCTGACATTATTTGTTACTATATTACCTTTGCTTCTTTTCACAATGTTAAGCCTGTTACTTTTGCACACTAAAGTCAGGAATAATTTTTTGAACTGAAACTTCTCCTGACCTGTTGTTAGCACATTATAAGCACTAACACAAGAAGAACCATACATAACAAAAGAGAAAAAAAAAAGATACAGTTCCTAGGTTGAAAATACCATGCTCTAATGAGATGTTTCATGCTATTTTCCCATCACAGTCAACCAGTTGTTATTTTTCCAAATCCTTCTGGCATGTTTTCATATTTAAAGAATCCTGAGATATTATGTCTACATTCAGAGTACCTAAACTTGTATTACTTGATTTTTACTGAAGAAAATATACATAATAATACCTTTCCACATTCTGTCTGTGTGTAAAAGGTGGCTGATGATTTCTATTATATTCTTCACGTGCTGCAAGCCTAGTTTCAGACACCTGTAAAATATATGTATATGAAAAGTTACACAACAAACAGATACTGCTCTGTATTGTACATTAAATCTCAATATTAAACAAAAAGGATGCATCAAAGGTCTCATGCTTTAGTTACTCTGCATAGAAAAATTATCACATTCTTTGGACTGTTGTTTCAGAAGAACAAGCATGGCTGCAGCACAGAGGCATGTTGCTAAATAGCATGAGTCTCTCATTGTGAATGTGCAAAAAAAACCCCAGAAGCACTTCATTCTTCTACCACGCGTAATACTCAGGGAAAAACTCAAAACATGATTATGAAGAAGACAGAAAGAGGTATATTTTCCATTAATGCATGCCAGCAGTTGCATTCCCTCTGAAGAACTATAATCTGATCCTGAACAACTGATGACAGTAGTAATGTTGCCTAAGTCTTTTGCATGTGATTATTTTAAAAGCGTGACAGCTCTCCTCTGAGCCTTCTACTTCCTAAGCATAAAACACACTTAAGGTTTCACAGTTAACAGAGTTTCAAGACATTTGCGCAAAACTCATGGAACCAATTTGTTTAAACAGGGAGACAGTAAAATTCAATAGAATAAAAGACACCATGATACAAGTGACATTCAAAATGAAATTTCACTAGGAATATCATTTAAATCTATACAACCAAGTAATTAACCATCTTGTTTTCCCTTTATACAACTTTTCAGTACTAACCAGCACAGCAATGAACCACTTATGAACCTGATTAAATTCCTGCCTGCCAACCTGCTAAGGACAATGACCACAACACAAGATACCCATTTAGGAAACAGAAAAAGTAACACAAAATGTAGTGGACAAAAACTGCAGCAAGCTCTCCGTGAATACATACCAATCCCAACTCTGCTACCCTACAATTATCTGACCAAAGTTCTTTTGGTGAAGATAAATCACTGCAGATATTCTGAGAATACTGAGCATCACACTGATCCCCTTCATCTCACTATTCTGTATATTCCATTGTTTGCTTGTATCCACCAGATTTTCTCTGTCTCAGTCATGGAAGATGAAGACATCTTGGGATCAGAACTATGCTACTTTGTGCAACATTACATGGTATTGGCAAACTTCCTAACTCGAGTAGCTAAGCGTTTTGGCAATACAGTAGCAAGGGATAGTTTTGCTCAAAACGTACACAGCCTTCCTTGAAAGTTACACTTGAAACGTGATCTCCTGACAGAAATATGCGCTCCGCTAAATATAAACAATTAGACAAAGTTTACAAAACAGCAATTGCCACAGATATCCATAATAAAATATACTCTCTTTTTTTTTTTCAAATTTCTGTTAAATAGAGAAACAAATCCGCAATATTTACCATAGTCTTAAGCAGTGCTCTCTTACCTTCTCATCTTCCCACTGGAAAAAGTTACAATCTTTTCCATCCCTACAAGCTGAACAAGCATAAAACCTTCTTCCTTCCTCTTTTCCTTGGCTGGTCTTGACAAACAGAAGAGTAGGACCTAAAGGACAAACGTAATTACACGATGGCACACGGGACACCAACAAATCTGTTTTAATGCCTCCACCGCAACAGTCAAGCTTCCAAAATAAAGCATTAACAAAGGCTGCTCTAAAACACAATCCCTCGTAGGAGAGCCGAGAAAGCAGCTGGAGACGAGCAACTGAGCGCTCAGGGAGCTGACAAACCCCTCACCCGTCAGGAACTGCGGCCACCTCACTCAGGCCCGTCAGAGCCCCGGCCGGCCCCGCTCCTCCCCTCGACGAGGCCCACACTCCCATCCAGCCCAAGCGGCCCCCTCGCCGCCCGGCTCACCGTGCGGGCAGCTGGGAGC